TTCAGGATCGTAATTTAATTAATTTATGCAGGAAAAAAGCAGTTAAAACACAAAAATAATTTTTATAATTTAGTTTCTACACTTGTATCTACATACCTGAGTAGAAATTACATTGTTTCAAAAAAAAGTTCTTGGAATTTTTACATATTTGAACAGGATACACTGGTGCCTTGAATATTAAGGTCTACTTCTCAAAAGATCATTCAAGCGATTTGGCAACTCTTGCCACTTAAAAATGCTGCTCCATGCCTAACTAGAGATTATGGAGTCTAACTCTGAACACGATTTGTTTCTACATTTTTGTCTTCACTATGACTAATTTTTTAAAAATAACTAAATATGCACACCGTTATTTACATGTATTACCACACAAAAAAAACAACCTCAGAAGAGGGTTGAATCACCATTTGGATGCAATGAATGAACTTCAGACTCAAACTGAGGTACTCCAGCAAGCCAGTCTGAAGCATTTTCTAACCTCCCAGGCCAGCATCCTTCACCACTAACAGGTAGAGGAAAAAAAGTCCTAAACAAGCATTGAAAGTAGTCTGCATAGTTTGCAAGTGTGTAAAGTGACAGCACAAGTGCACAGAAACAAATAGCAATTCCTTCCTCTAAAGTATATTCCCTGAAAATAGCAGAAAAATACGAAAATTTATGTAACTTGAAGTTTGGAAGGAATTCCATAAAACCAAGGCATAATTATACTTTCCTTATATTCTGGCCATCTGGGTAAATGTAGTAAAGGCAACTTGCAGCTGCTCAGTGGTATTTGCTCATGTTTGGTACCAGCAATCAGCTTTCCAGATACCAACATATTTCCTGTAAACAGGGTTGCAGAATATAAATCTGTACTTCACCTCCAGCTTGAAGTCTTGATCCTTGGGTATCTAGTGGCACTGTTAGATCACACAGCTCATCACTCACTAGTTACAGCTGTTTCCAGAACAGCTCAACTCTCCTGCAATGTTTACAACTAATCTTGGATAAAATATTGAGATGCCCTACAGTGAGCCTTTTATTTTTTTCAAATAAAAAGCATTTTATTTCATACTTAAAACTGCTCAGTCAATTCTAAAAGTAATACTAAGCCTGATTCTACTTTGAATTGCACCTCTTAAATATCCCATCAGAAGACTGGATTTCCACATCCTCTCCCAAAGGGCAATCAAGTCACCTGGGTACCCCGTGCAAGCCCCATATACATGTGTGGCTTACACCAAGCACCAGCCAAAAAGAAACACAAGCAACATTTAATACAATCTTATTACAATAGTAGACTTGGCCTTTTTCAAAATTGGTGTGATACACCTTTTTCTTATTGTTTCATTACAGGTAACAACTTACCAGGAAAAGGCAAAAGGCTTGGCAGCAATGATGGATCTTGTGAGACTCTTCAAGAGTGAATCATGATGGTTACTGTAAACTCTTTTTATAACTGGAAGAAAATTTTGAGAGTCTCCATTTAAACAACTTGGTATTTTATGTTCTAAACTGTATGGGACTCTCTTCTATTTTACCACAGTAAATTAAAATATTTCAGAATTTTTAAGTCTTTCTAATATTTACTTTTTGTTCTTAAACACAGAAGTAAAAGGCTTTATTGGCCCATGCCTTGTGGTTTAGAAACTTAAAAATAATTCTTCCAGCTTCTGAAATTCGACATCAAAGTGAATACTCAGGTTGCAAGTTTCTTTTAAAGACGTCCTAAAAAGAAAAGCACTGGCATCAGAACAGTCTAGCTCTGTTTATCTAACAATGAGATGGCAAAAGCCTTTCAACTAGTATTGCATCCAGTACCTACTGTTCTCCCACTTTTGTTACTGAAAATTAACACCAAGGATGGCTGAAACATAAATATATACTGGGCAACTTATAATGTCAAAGATACTGTTCATGACCATCTCAAGCACTTTCCTTTTTGTCCCACTCTGTGCCTCATTAGGTTGAGACCCACACCAAAATTACTTTTTCAGTTAAAATAAAAAGCCAAACAAACAGAAATCTCACAACTTGGTATTTGGTTCATCTACACCAAATCAACACAGGGCGCGTAGCTATTGGACAAGGGGTAATGGCTATAAATTGGAAGAGGGTAGATTTAGGTTAGACATTTGAAAGAAATTCTTCACTCAGAGTGGTGAGACACTGTAACGGGTTGCCCAGGGAAGCTGTGGATGCCCCATCTCTGGAAGTTTTCAAGGCCAGGCTGCAACCTGGTGTAGTGGAAAGTGTCCCTGCTCATGGAAGAGGGGTTGGAACTAGATGATCTTTAAGGTCCCTTCCAGCCCAAACCACTCCTTGATTCCATGATTAGTATTCCCATGTAGGAAGACAAACAAGAAATGAACCTTAAAAAGCAGTGTTTGGTGCAATACTCAGAGACCAAGAGCTGATGGAAGAAATACTGAGTATAATATCCAAATTTAAGTTCACCTGTGGATAGTGCTCAGCTTTTTAAAACCTATAAGAGTAAAATGTCCAGATTAAGTGATATTATTGCTTTCTAAAATTGCACACTGATATTGTATGGCAATACCTTTTTCTTGGCCAAATAAATATCCACTGGCTTTTTATGACCCAAACCTCTACAGAAAAGGAGGGAAAGGAAGGTTTGTCTAGGGCTACTAAGTTTCCCAAGTAGTTTTGCAAGACTACAATGTATATACAAATTAACTGCTGCAGTCAGTAATAGCTAAGATTAATCTAACTGCAATAAAAGTCTTACTTAGCTCACGGTGCAACATGAAAGCTACAGACCCGCCCAACACTCCCTATTTAGCTACATGGAGCAACAAATTCTAAATTACTTAATTAAAACAGCAAGACTGTAATTTGCCTGCATGCCCTGTGTGTGGCACTATGTCACAACTGCCATACGTGAATGGATTGTTAATTATTTTCTTTTACGTAAATACAAATCTTAGGAAAGTAAAAGATACTAATGATCACATTTTTATATTTTAATCTTTCAGTGTTGCTTTACAAATTTTTAGCAGAAGAGCTGCGGTTGTATGTGCACTTCATGAGGTAACAGTGATTACGTCACAGTCCCATTAGTACCTACCAGATAATGTTGTTCAGATTACCAAGATACAGTTTTAGCACAACAAGCAAGAACTTGCCTGTTTGAAAAACAACATTCAGAAACTACTTCTGCACCAATATCCTCTGGAGTTTCCACCCTCTAACTAGTGTCCTCACAAAGCTAGGAACTGAGTTACAGAAGGCTAACAGCAGTTGAGCTTGCTTTCTACCATCTACAGTTTTAGGATTCACATTTTGAATGTAGTATTCACATCCTTCGACTATCCAAGAGCTCAGACAGACCTGCAACATGAAGCCCCACTCCAGCTTTATGGGTACAGACGAGATGTGTTGTCCAGACTTAGTATTGTGTCTCTGATTCTGAATACACGTTAGACAACATGTAAGTTGAGAAAATGTATTACTAGAATTAGAGGAAGAAAACTGCTTAGAAATATAATTAAAGAGAAATTTTAGACTATTACTTCGGAAATCATTACACTGTCTGTACAGGCTGAAATCTGCTGTTTTCCTTAACAAAAGGAAGGGGGAAAAGCCTAGAAACTAAGGGTGGATTCTCAATTATAATATTAATTAACATTTAGAATGCTGCCAAATTTAAAATTAAGAAATATTAAGTGTAATCTGTAAATCAAGGACTGATAGCAGCAAATGTAGAGCAAAAAGCACTAGTTCAACAAGAGAGGCCAGCCTAGGAAACCAGCTTTTAGGCATGTATCAGAGATGCTTACATCATCTGAAAAAATATGAAAGGTACCAAAATACAAGTAGCATTACCTGATTACAAAAATCCAAAGAGTTTTAAAACTAATACACAGTTGTGTAGTTGGTAAACATGTCAAGGACAGGTGGGCTAGGGACAGATAAAAGATGAGCAACCTCAAATTCTCTGATCTACTGAGAGAATAAAGAAAGAAGAGTTTGAAATATTCCAAGATCATCCTACTCCTTGGGTGCATGCATTAGTGCAGGAGACCACAGTATGGATTCTTCTCTGCTGTAGCAAGCACCAAACGAATTATGTAGGATAAACAGCAAAGTGATTATCTAACCACATCTGTTAACAAGTTAGAGGCATCTCAGCAGTGGAGATGCATTGCTATCAATGCACTGGTAAAATGCTTAAAGCCAATGTCCTAAAACAAAACTTCCCTTACATTACTTACCCAATACTCACCATGCCTATGGGTGCTTCAGCTGTAGCATCAGTAAAGAAGAGATTATTATTGGATAGAAAGAGCATCAAAGCAGAGTTGAGCTAAAACTCCAGAGTCTTTATGGATTTAAACTATTTTTGATTGAGTCATCAAGGTCCCCTTGGCTCACATTATTCTTTGGGCTCCCAGAAGACTGAGAGTTGAGATTATTTAGCTGCTTGATATAGGGTTTCAAATCAGAGATTAATTTTGAAAATTGTTTTAGTTGTACATTTTTTTGAGAGGTACTAATAGATAATCTACAATTTTTAAAAAGTGTGGTTGGTGTATAGGCACCTCCATAGACGCATTAACACTGGTTCACTGTTTCACAGGACAGAGTTTACACATGAAAATCGAACAACTTGATTTATTTAAAATTCACCTCAAAATGCATTGTGTTTAGTTTCATTTTTAAAATGAACATTCAAAGCATCAAAGTATTACTCATTTAAAAAGAACCTTTGTTAAGAATAAGGTAATTTACATACTGTAGATTGTGGCTGTGAGTGGAGAGAAACAACCAATGGTAGATTAGGCACAGTACTACGGCCAACAAGCCAGAAAACAACACAGCTCGATGCTCACCTTTTACATGATCTGGACAAACTGGGTGGGAAAATAAAACCAACAGCTTACTTGAGGGTGTTTGTGTAAAAAAAAAAAAATAGAAGTGTTAGTAAGTTTTCTATCTAGACCTAACTCATTCACGTATTTAAAGAACTATATCTTCTTCCAAATAACAAAAGATGTTTCTAAACCAAGGGAGATTATTATTTGGAACTGGCATAGTAAAATAAAGGATCACAGTATACAGAGCTTAAAATCCTGTACCAGGAAAGAGCAACAAGTGGTTTACAAGGGGACCATTTAAGTATATTATCTAATTTTTAAGAACAGAGTTATAAAATATCAGTTGCATAGGGATTTAAATATAAGGCCAAGCAGGAGATTAAAATAAAATAGAGATCATAAGAAGGGCACTATGGTATCAAAACATAGTATTTTCATTTGAATTAATGTCTAATTCAAAATCACAGTATTTTGCTAGTACTAAAAACAGTGAATGTCAAACTGTCCCATTAATCTTGAACTGAAAACTGACATTAGAACTTCTAAATAGTACAAAACTAAAGCTCATTGTCTAGACCTGATCAGTGTATTAGCACAATAGTGCTTGGTACGTACCTGATTTGTATACTCTACCTTCTGTAAATAATATAAAGGTTATTTCTTGTTAATAAGTGTGAGATCACAATATTACTGCATGCCATCAGTGGTTTGCAGGCTTACTTGATATTTAATTATTCAGTCTTTAAAAGTGGAAGATCCCACCCTGCAGAATCTTCACTCATTGAACACAGAACACTGTCATTAATAAAATACAATAGAAGTTCCACCACTAACAACTAACATATAAGCCAGGATTGTAGGTCTAAACCCAGTACAGTTCATTATTATTAACTCACAGCAATTTTTGTTAGGAAGGTAACCTGTAGACTTCCAAATAATCTTGCATGTATTAAATATAAACAAGTATGTAACTAACGTTCATCACTTGGCAATTCAAGTAGATCAATTGTGAAAGTGTTTCCGCAAAATCAATTTTAAGTTGTTAAAACGGAGTTCAAATATTAATCTCTGTATCTACAAGTAGCTTAATTAACCTAAAATTGTAAGGAATAGTAGTGTAAGGAAAAAAAATTCTCCAGATGAATTAGGCATTAAGGTACACTAACTAGGAATACCTGAACCAACATTGTAACTGAAAAAGTGCATAAACATAGTAATACTACAAACGTGTTAACTACAGAAAAAAAGGTTTTCTGAAAGCTAAAGTGATACTATTTTACATGTTATTTACAGGTTGCAAATTTTCAAGAGACCACAGAGCCAATTATGATCTTAAAATTCCTTTGATATATTCAAAGGGTCCTTTTGGCTTCCATCCCATTCGGTCATGAACCTATTCACACACCAGTGAATCGGGCATGGTGCAGTCGAACAACACTGCCAGTGTGGTTCTGTTAATTCTTCAAAATTCATTCCTTTCTGCTCTTTGCAGAAAAAGCAGTATTTTCATTTCATGCTTTTTGTAGGCGTTTCAGATTCTGTAGACTGTCTCCCATCAGTCCATGCCTCTCGTGTGCTCTTCAGCGCTAGCGTTTTCTGCTGATCCACCACAACGTAATCAACTCTTTCATCTGCCACGCTGCTGCCTGAACCACTGCTCTTTTTCTGGGAAAGGCAAAGGAGAGGGAAAAATATAAGTTTTAATAAACCAACAACAAAAAGTAGATATCCCAAACAGATATAGAACAATCACAGGTTTCTCTCAAAGGTCTAAGATAGACTCCCCTGTTGACCATTTGACAAACCTAGTTAGGATGATCTTGTAGGAGGCTCCCTTTTTCCCAGCAACTACACGTGAAGAAATTTTAAACTCCTGGTGGCAAAATACAAGTGTTGAAGATTTGCTTACCTTACGAGGTGGAGTAGATTTTCCTGAATCTAGGTCCAGATCTAAATATTCTACTTGTTTATCTCCTTTAGGTTTTACCATAGGGCTGCTTCCTTCATCAATACTGTTGCTTCCAAACAAATTCTGAAATTATAATGTAAATAACTTCAGTCACAAACACACATTTTAATGGCTCACATTATCATGTAACGCTTATTATAAACTGCCGAAGTATTAAAGGTTAAAGAACTGGTTGAGAGCTCTTACAAACAGTTAAAACATGCAAATTGTATTGACACTGTAAAGCAATGGGATATATTCTAAATCAAAACTGGGACAGAGTCAAAAGCCAACAGAGGAAAAAATCCTCCAAACCAACCCCCCAGATTTAAGGTTGCCACCAAACCAATCTGTGCCTTCCACCTAATGTCACTTTCATATAATGTGATTAAGAATGGAGGGTGGTTTGTTCTTTTTAAATGAAGCTGTTACCTTCTCAAATTTAGCATTACTTAATTACAAACTTACTTATTTCCTTAAATTGCTATTAAATACCATACAAGAATTTCAGCCTTACAATAGTGGCAAAACTTCAAAAGAAACTTTTACTTTTCATTCAAAAGCCACCATGATTAAGCTGAAAATCAAAAAGTATTATTCAATTGATAAGACAAAAAGATTAAAACTTTGGAAAATTTGTGTAGGGTTGCCTGAACTGAAGTTGTATTGTATATACCTAAATTTAAATTAGCCCAGACTTTTACAACCTCACCTCCTCTGTCCTCTCCCAGCCTGATCCCTCCCTCTTAACAGGTGTTATAGGAACAGTACAATAGAAGGACTCTTCTCTAAAAGATAAAGAAAAAAAAGGAAGACAGAGGGCAGCAGTCAGCAAAAAATGAAGAGGAAGGCAGAAGGAAAGACAGAAGGGTAAGGCTGACAGCAACTTGAAAGAAAAAGCAGAATATTGCTGATTTTATTGAATAAAACAGAAGTATGACATGTCCAAACAAGAGGCTTCGAAGCTGATGACAGAAAAAGATGAAAAACTACGGAATCCTTTCTAAGATGCAAATAAAAATTTCCAAGACATCTATATAATTGGCACATTTTAAAACAAAGGCCTTGAGATATCTGAAAACATTAATGTTCTCTAGGAAATAAAATATTTTACGGGTTAAAGCTTAATGAGCTGGGCTTTTTAAAATTTAAGTTATCCATTATATCTGTATCATCCAACTCATTTAAGTGGTAGCAAGGACAAATGCAAATGACTGAGACAAAGTTAATTTTTGTTGCCCAAATTCTCTCAACAAATTTCTGCATATTTAACATAAGAAAAATCAGGGTTTGTATCAATGTTTCCAGCATAAATAAAAAGATATTGCTGTTTAAACAAAAAATAATCTGTTATTTCAAACAAACTAGACAGGTAGAACACATGCGGTAGAGAAGAGAAACTTTAAATATACATAAATGAAAATGAAAGGAAACCTGTTGAACAACCTTAAAGAATGAACGTTGCAAGCAAACAGAAGATATTAATGACAGGCCATCTGAGCTGTGATATTAATTATAACATCTTGGCACTGAAGTTAAACCCCTGAAATGGCACTGTAAAAATCAAAAGAAATTTGATTTCCCAATTTGAACGGCGATTTTGCTGCAGGGAGAACTGTGGGCATGGACGAGTCTAAACCTTTGTGTAATATGGGAAATTTCCTGCATCTGCAAAATGGGATGTTCCTGATTACTTACCAGTGTCTCTTGCAAGAGAGGGGGCTAACTTTTTACATCATCAGCTCCCTGCTGCTGAGGTGCACTTTGCCTGGAAAGGATGCCTGCAGGTCAGACATGGTACCAAGCGTGGGCCAGGATGCTCTGCTGGCTCCTGAGCTTGCACCAGGCCAGAGCTGCCGAAGGGAAATTGGCAGGAGGGGCTGGCTCAGGGAGACCTGAGCAGCAGTATCCAGAGGCAGCAATAGTGAGCTGGAGCAGAGAGAGACTGGAGGAGTATCCAAAGCAGCAGGATGGGGAAGCAAGCAGCTCTGCAAGAGGAGGAGAGTCCAGGGTGCAGGGAAATGGGCCAGCACATGCCATCTAAGGCAGCAGACGAACAAACAGAACAAGAGAGGCGCTAGACAGGCCCTCCCCAAAGAAGGTCTCTCATAATGCTTTAAAGATGAAAAATGCTGCTGTATCCCCCAAACTGTACAAATGTGGTGTGAATACATTGAACTAAACTGAACAAAGACACAGGTTTACCTACAGTACTTTAAGGTATTCTGGACCACATTTCAGTTTAGGCCTAGGTCTACTGCTACTCTCTTACATTAGAATACTATTATTTGTTCTTCTTTTTCCCTCTCTTCTTTGCCCCCAACCAAACAAAAACCATGGCATGCTTAATTAGCTTATCCTAACTAGCTGTGCACTTACTGCATTGCAAGCTGAACATCTAAAACTCTATTATCCCCTCAAAGGGGAGAGAAATACATATATTCAATACAGAAAGACCCTCTCTATCCTCTTTTTTTAAAGAAGCCTAATAAGAGTACATAAAGCTCAGTTTTTATAGAATGTAAGCAACAAATATAAATCCTTTTTTCCCTCCTGTTCCTTCCACATTTCTTGGTAGATGTCCTTTCAACAAAGGTTATAAGGCATGTCTCAGAGGTCCTAAGATGGTTTATTTCCCTTGATGTCATAATACTGAACTGGTGCATAGCCCAGGACAAGCAACTACAAAGAGGAGGCAGTTTCTAGGGAAGAGGAAAAAAAAAAGGCATGTATTGCGCTGTTTTGTACAATTGATACGCATACTAACAACTCTCTTTATATATTATTATGCTTTTAATTTCTTCAGTGAAATCTAACCAAAATTACAGTTTTTCTACAGAGAATTTTTTATTATTATTTTGATGTAGAAGCATAAAGGGAGTTATGTGGAGTGGAAAGATCTGTGTATGCATAATTTAAAAGTAAGGACTGCACAGGAAGAGAGTAGTTAAGACGTAGATTTTACATACTGGGTCTTCAGTGGACTGATTTGGATTCATGGATACATAATTCTCTTCACTGTCGTGCGAGTCACTGCTGGAAGTTGTGCTATGAACTGAATCCGGTCTGGGAGACATAGGAAACCTGGAGGGGCTAATTACCAGGAATTATTTTACAAACATTACATCTCGAATATCTTAAAACCTCCTGGTAAACAACAAAAATACACGTATTAGAGCTGAAATTTTCATTCAAGTTTACTAGAGTGCCACATATTTTGGTTATAAACAGTCCCTTATATTTAATATTACAAAATAAAAATTCATACAGACACACTGTTTCAATGTGCACGAGCATATATACATACACACACACACTCTTCAACAGGAAACCTCAATTCTATTGCACAGGCTAAAACATAACACAGATATACACACATTTATTAACACTGTAGTCAACAAAAATAATCTAAATGAGGAAAAGCTAAGAAACTTACTCTCGTGCAAAGCTTCTGGTGATAGGAGATCGAACTGGGGCTTGTAATTCTTCCCATTCAGGCAGAGGTTTTATTTCTAGTGGAGCTGGTTTTGCTAGATAAGAAAGAGACAATCTTAAAGCACAGAACATTCTTAAGCAAACTTAAATTTAATAGTTTTTCAAAGCCTACAAAACAACAAAAAACCCGTATTTTAAAAATAGCAAATACTAACTAGGAAAAGACAGTGTTCAGTTCTAAAAGAGCCAAGATACCTTAATCTACATTTTTAATCTTTACAGGAACTGAAATGCAACAACAATTAGGAAAAAACCCCATAATTTAAGAATTTTGCAAGATACATTTCTATGTAGTAATTCTGTTCTGAAAAGAAACTCTGAAAATGGCAGCATCATGTTGTCTTTACTCTGTCACAACGACTTGTTGAACTGACAAGCCCAGCACAGGGCTTGATGGACTGTTTCAGCGGAGCCAACTCTGGGTCCTTTTCTTAGTTTACGGACAACAGTTATTATGCAAGCTCTGCCCTTGCTGCATACATGTGCCCCTACTGATGAGGTTTCTCCGCTCAAAGCGTGGGTAGAATCTGCAGCTACGACTACGTTTGCAAAAGTGAGACACGAGCTAACATCCAGCTTCAGTTCCAAGAGGTGCTTGGCTTGCTTTAGTGCTTATCAACAGATGAGCAAAGTATCAGAGTGTTTGTGCCATTAATGACAACTAACATTGTTCCAGAAGTGCTGCCATGTTTAAATTCCATTTTCAGAACAGAATCACAAATAGAGTATCAGTGAGAAACGCATTATCCCTCCTCTCCAGCTTATGTTTCACCCCTCTCAAATGTTAGGGAAAAAAAAGGATAAAAAAGGACTTGTGGAAAAAAAAGTAAAATCACACAGTCAAACTGCTGAAACAGCTTGAATCTCACCTTTATCCTTCCTAAAACTGTTTTTAGAAAATAAATGCAATGTCATTGTAACACCCCTTCCTCTCCTCACAGTCCTTCCAGTCAGTTTGCTGCCTGCTAGCAGATTTACCAAGATCAAATATCAGGTATGTAAGCAAGAATTCATGTGGAGTAAGAGCTGTCTTAAGTGACCACATGAGGAACTGACAAAAATCAGTTGCTTTATCAGCGTGCCTGTCTCACAGGGACAATGCAGAACTGTAGCCATTATACCTTCATTATAGTCACTCCTCAGATTGAGTTTATTGAAAAGTCAGCTATCATATATTTAACACAAGGACTCCTGATTCAGAGTTTCTGGAGAAGTATCAGTCTCTCGTATCCCAAACAGTTTTCTCCTTTTCTCTGTTAAGAAGGCATAATTTACACACTCAAAGCATATCAAGCCTGCTCCAGTAACTCTGCCACTTTAACTCAGTTGCTCATAAAAATGCTGTCACCACAGACTCAGGAGAGGAATTACAAGTCATCTATCTCAAGATACAAGGTATCATATGAGATAACAGTGGCAGAGCCAAACTTGTCATAGGTGAGACAATACTAGAGCATGAGGGACAAAAATTATCAGCTTGGGTCAAGAGACTACCTAGCAGATATAAATGGCAAGTAATGTTCTGCTCCAGCAGAAACAGGACTATTCCATCCAATTGCAATGGACTTAAACAATCAAAGGTAATGATCAGTGACACTTCTGTATAATTTTTAACCTCCTCTGCTTCTTTTGACTATATAAAGCACCAACTCAGCACCTTCAACAAGTCCCATCAGACTAATTGCAATGTTCATTAAGATGCATAAATAAATCTCTGTGCTGGTAAATGGTCAGAGAATCATATCTTGCTTTATTTCAGTGTTTAGCCAACTGCAGGAAACCCAAGTAAACTATGATTTCAGGTTACTGACTAACGAAATTTATTTCAAGCAACTTACAGGTAAGTCATATGTACACTTGCTTCTAAACTGTCAAAACCAAATCCAAAATATGAACAGCTACAACTTAAGAGATCAGAACACCATGTTATTGTCAAGGAAATGTTGATAGATGCTGTTCAAGCCAGAAAGGCTAGTTCTTTTCAGAGGAAACTTTTTGCTTGGCAAGAAAAACACATTCATGATCTTAGATTATAACAGAAATAAAAAGACTATACAAGAGTTAAAGTTATTCTATAATAAGATTTTTCTTAACTTTTCTTTCACTTAGTTTTATAAAGCTCCATATACATACAGTGCTAAAGTACATACCCTTTCTTCTTGTAGTAAAGTCACCTACGGTTTGTGAATCAGTTCGCTCTAAACCATGCGGTTTAGGTCTTAAAATTTTAGGACTTTGACCTAATTGGTAAAAAGAAGACTCTCTTAATAATATTCTGTTTGTAACTGGAAAATGGAATTTTGTAAATAAAAAGCACAACCCCCTGCAGGAAAGTTAAAGCCACAAGCATAAGCAAGCTGCTGAAGGAGAGTTTTACAGTCTAGCTAGGCCTCACACTAAGGGCTTAAGCACCAAACCAGAAACAAACAAAAAATACCACTGCATGCAAGTAATTTGTTGGAGGCAAGCATAAAAGGTGTACAAAAAGACTAAAAAGTGCATCAACAAATATGGTGACTGATGATTACTATTAACTAGCTTCAAGCTGCATTACATAAAAAATCCCCTGTTGGAGGAATATCTAGCATGAAAGGGGAATAGTCATGTTCCAGATGCAAGTTGAGGTACCCCCCAAGAAATTAAATCCTCTTTAGTTAGAATATTACTTGGGAAACAGTGATACTCTTGGGAGGTCTCCTATCTGCTGTGCATGTCCCAGTTGAGAAGCCACAAGATTCTTTTTCCACCCTGTATTTGTTAATCTTTTTCCCAGAGGTCTGTATCTGACTGTACCAAAAACACCTCCAACCTTGAAGACACAGGGGGTCTTTCTTTCCAAGCTCCCAGTCTGAATACTGTCCCCACCACCATGGCCAAACCCAACCTCCACCATAAATGACCCTGTCATCAAAATAGATTCTTGAATAAACCTATATAAAAGTGCAGTAGATGTACTAATCATTCCCCTCTATGTTCTGCTACCATACCCCATCATGCTCTTAGCATAACATTCCCCTGTGTTATGCTAACACACAACATAACACTTAAAATTAATCTGGTAACAAGGTGAAGAGTACAAACTAAGAACACTAGATACAATAAACTCTTTACAGGCAGTCATTTAACCACTCTCCCAACAACGATGTTCTTAGTCAACCTGACCAAACTGTGAGTGTTTCAAGTCACATTTTCTAAAATAGTATGAACCTTTCATGGAAGTCTAGCTGACAAAGTGTTAATATTAGAAAAGGTGAGTGCCTTCAAGTGGTACACGAAGAAGCCATATGAAAGGTAAATCCATACAATAAACCAAATAACAAGTTTTAGTCTGATTATGTTAGAAGTTTGCCCTATAGCACAAAATGGAAAAGGACTGGTACAGACTCAGATGTGGGCTGGTACTAGCAGCAATAAGTGAGAATGCTTTGTAAAATACTAACTTGGCAACAAATACCAGAAGTTTGCAAATCTCTTCCCCAAGGGTTTTGCATATGAAGTGCTATATTACTGTTCTCACTGAAGTACCAGGAATAATCAAGTAACAACAAGAAAAGTAAACAAAGGTTTTGTAGTGTATCTTAACTTACACATTGTGCTTCTGAGAGACCACGCAAGTAAGACAAAATTTATTTATTTACTACTAGTGCTGCATAGAAACTTCCTTAAAAAGAGAAGGACATGAAATGTTTTTCACACAGAAAGTTATTTTCCAATTTCAAACCAGATGTTCCCTTAAATGGCTAGAAGGGCCAATGAAAAGGCCAAGCAGTTGGGCAATGCTGACCAAAGCCCCAGATTGTGAAGAGGTACACAAAGCATTTGTGTAAAGCACGCTGTGGACTGGACGTAAGTCAAAAGCATGACCCAACACGTTAGCATAGCTCATTCTGAGCCAATTTGATATTCTTAAGTCCCTTGCCTACAACTTTATGATAAAAGCTTGCTTATATAAAAAGACCAAGATCTTAAAATTGACCGAACAAACCTAGAAGTTGAAATTCAAACACCTCTTATTAAGAACTATTTGATGCTGAACATAATTATCTAATCATATTACTTTTGTGTCCCACAGTTTTATAATCCGATTTAAAAGAAATCTGGCCCAACATGATTCAATTTACAATGCCAATCAATGCACTGACATACCAGCACACATCCTAAGTATGGTGAGAAATCTAGCAGACTTAATAGGGTTAATGAAATTATTTAACCAGTGTGTACTTTATAACCTCTCTGTTCTTGTAGCCAAACATAGGCTGAAGTGCCTGGAACCCGTAACACAGAAGATAAGTGCAAGGAACTCGGGGCTATGACTCATTATTTCTGCTTCTGTTAATGATGCTACGTGGTCTCGTGCAGCTAACCTTCCTGAACTATGATCGTCCCCATTTGTAAAATGTGGATATTATGTAACTGCCTGCATCATACTAAATTTATCACTTACAAACCATTCTGAGACTTTCAGAAGAGTGATAAAAATAGGTATAGGTCCCCATAGTATTTCTCCTTTGCATCAGACAAGAGCCCACAAAATGTTTCAGGATAAAATAAACTCACTTAGATTTCATCTCTTGGTGCTGACTGCTCAGCCAAAACCAATTTTGTGGCAAAACAGCTTGCTGCTACCAACCAGCCAGGATAATACAGTTCCTCAGTTTAATATGTCACAGAGAATTAAAATGTTTGTACAGGGTGCATTTTGTTTTCCTCCCTACAAAACAAACCTGAAAATGTATAATCTCTGTTGAGGAGCTTATACTGTGCAACAGAAAAGACCTGATACAGGGCAAAGGAAAAGAAGGGGGGATCAGAATTGCAAGACTGATGTTACTTATTCCTGTCTGTAGTACAGAATTCCTCCACCCTATCTTTTCCCATTTAAGAAGATAAAAGTAACATGAGGATGTATGAGGATGATTAAGGGACTGGAACATCTGTCTTTTGAAGAAAGACTGAGAGACCTGGGGCTATTTAGTCTGGAAAAGAGAACACTGAGAGGGGATCTTATTAATGTTCACAAATATCTGAAGGGTGGGTGTCAAAAAGAGTGGGCCAATCTCTTCCCAGTGATGCCATGTGATAGGACAAAGGGCAATGGACAAAAACTGGAGCACAGGAAATTCCACCATAATATGAGGAAAAACTTCTTTACTGTAAGGGTGATATAGCACTGGAACAGGCTGCCCAGAGAGGTTTTGGAGTCTCCTTCTCTGTAGACTTTCAAGAGCATCTGGATGCTTTTCTGTGTGACCTGCTCTACGTGGTCCTGCTCTGGCAGGGGGGTTGGACTCTTGATCTCCAGGGGTCCCTTCCAACCCCTACTGTTCTATGATTCTATGAGCTATGGCACAGAAGACCCTTAATAATACCCTATGTTCCATCAAAAGATGTATTTGTCCTAAATCCATCAGAAATTCTAGAGGTGTCATTCTTTACCTAAAAATGGACAGTTCTGCACTATTTTAAGCCAGATCTGTGGATGGAAATATGTATTTTTTAGAAATTTATATCATAAGTACTGCAACTGAAATACCTAGTGCTGCTCCCAAGTAGCCTAACTAATTTTCTCCAACAGCATGTCCTAGTACCTTTGAGAAGCAACAAGCTGAACAAAATACAGGAGAGAAAGTGTTTCACACCTATATAGGAGACTGGTCTCCAACATCTATTCTATTCAGAAATAATCACTAAAGGTAAGTGTCCTAAGTCTGTTCTTCAAATTAACTGAGTGAAGGACAGCAGGTCTCTGTGGAAAGTCTGGCTCCATACACCATTCCAGTGTCAGTAATACTGAGGAACACATTTCCCATGGTACAGGCCCACAGGCTCTGATTTACCTCATCTGATGTTTAGGCACCCACATAACACAGCACTTTTGGCTTACGCATCTATTCTCGGAAAGACAAATCTGGGTTAAAAAAAATAAGTGTTCATATATATATTTATCGTAACTGAAAAGGAAATTAAATGTGTTGCAACACCACTGGATGCAAACCAACACAGGAAAAGAAACCCAAATAAATTATGGCAAGTGAACCCAACCGAACAAGAAGTGAAAAATAGATGTTTCCACTGTTCAGTCAAGTCACCACCTGTGAAATACAAAATGCTACAGCCAGGATAGAGGAACTCAGTTTCTGCACGTTCTATCAGACAAATACTGTGTGAGGGCACTCTGAGCTGAAAAATCCCTAATGAAGTCTATTTTTCTAACAAATAGCTGCTTGTAAAAACTGCCAGGCAGAAAAAGCAATTATGGATCTAGCATTAGAGTGCACTCAGATGGCATGAATTCTGCTCCTGGCATTTCGGTGTGTGTCAATGCTGCCTTTGTCTGGGAAGTGATCAGGAGAAGAGTACATTTCACATGTTTGATTATATTTCAAGTAACGATTTAAACTGAAAAACCTTTTTGGTTTTTCCACCAGCTAATGTATTCTCTTTTTCTTTTCCATAGAAACACTTGGAACACAATGTTGGGGGGAAAACAAGTGGTCCCGCTGCAACAAATTCCTGCTTCAAGAGTAGGTGGCTTCTAACATTTTCAGTCGTGAAGACGTAAGCCACTCACTGAAGAGCCTAATTTGTTTTCAGGCTATTGCCTTGAAGCAGTACTACTGAACAAGATTCCTGTTAAGGAGGCTTATTTTCTGACTAGCTGCTTGCTCCATGGCTCACTAGCAAAGGATTTTACATCAGGAAATTGCAAATATCCTCACGAAGAGGACAACACACTATTTAAACAACAGCTGTTTAGGGCTTAACATTTTAAGGTAAATCTACTAATGTAACATAAAATTTAATGTTAATGCTGTTTCCTGGAAAACAGGACTAATCCTCATGAGACAAGGAGATCAGATGTATGAATGCTACAGGAGTGCTTTACTTGGAATACGAAGCGGAGCGCAAAAGGCAGAACCAGCCACGTAAGTGTCCTGCATTCAGAAAAGTACTTTTATAGAGACATAACTAACAACAGCTTATCATTTCCATTAACTAATACAAACCTTTCCCCTTTCCTCTGTAATCAGAAGAAATTCAAATCTTCAGTGGCCCAAAAATTCCAGTACTCAGAAGCACTGTAGATTTTTCCTTGAAAAAGAAGACTGAAGCTCAGTCTTAGTTTATTATAGGGTTTATTACTTGTTTTTTAATTCTGCAGAATAACCTCCTCCCCTTTCTCTTCCTCACCCCAGTGAACTCTGATCCCCAAGTCCATGGTTTCCAGCACAGAGCTCTA